TGGGGGGTGGGGAGTTGGGGAGAGATAGCATGGGGAGAAATGCCAGATATAGGTGATGGGGAGGAAGGCAGCAGATCACACTGCCACGTGTGTACCTATGCAACAATCTTGCATGTTCTTCACATGTACCCCCAAACCTAAAATGCAATAAAATTAAATTAAATTTAAAAAAAAGCAAGGACCGCCTCACCTGACATATCCATGGCTAACCGCATCAGTGGCCAGCAAATAACAGAGCCTAATTTTAATAACAAAAAATAGGGGGGAAATGTTGCTATTCACTCGAGGTGGTTGGCAAAATATTACAGAAAATACATAGAGAAAGTTATAGATTTTAGTCTCAAATCTTTGGAAGGCTGAAAGGTTTTATTGGGGCAGGCTGAAGGTGGCCGGTCCATCATGTTAAGTTACAGAGAGAGAGCTGATCAAAAAGGCCTTACCCCACACCCATTTGTCTCCACTGTGTTTACTCATGTTAATTTTGTGCTGCGTGGTCTCTCCAGGGAAGATCAAAGGCGAAATACGTGTTAATAGTATTTACTCTGGGCCCTAGAACCTAAAGCTTTTACCAGTCGTAAAACCATTCTCTTAACCATGTTAATTATCCACAAGTGTATTAACTTAGAACCTTTGTTGTAACATCTTGAGGGAATAAATGTGTGATGGTCAGAGGGTCTGGGTTGATTGGTTGCATTTCACCCTCTGAAAGCAGCCAACGGCCACCCCTAGCCCACTTGAAACACTGTAATGGTGTGAGAGTACATTCATTCATCTGATTGTGGAGTCAGGGTCTGCAGGTTAGACTTCCCCGAGTGGTGACCCCAACGTGATCGAGGCCACACATGGGCAAAGGCTTCACGACTAAGGAATCGAAAGCAATGGCAACAAAAGCCAAAACCGACAAATGGGATCTAATTAAAGAGCTTCTGCACATCAAACAAACAAACAAACAAAAAACTAAAAACAACAACAACAAAAACTATCATCAGAGTGAACAGGCACCCTACAGAATGAGAGAAAATTTTTGTGATTTATCCAACTGATAAAGGGCTAATATCCAGAACCTACAAAGAACTTAAACAAATTTACAAGAAAAGAACAAACAACCCCATCAAATAGTGGGAAAAGTATATGAACAGATACTTCTCAAAAGAAGACGTTAATGCAGCCAAAAGATATGAAAAAAAGCTCATCATTACTGGTCATTAGAGAAATCAAAACCACAATGGTATCATCTCATGCCAGTTAGAATGGTGATCATTAAGAAGTCAGGAGACAACAGATGCTGGAGAGGATGTGGAGAAATAGGAATGCTTTTACACTGTTGTGGGAGTCTTTATTAGTTCAATCATTGTGGAAGACAGTGTGGCGATTCCTTAAGGATCTAGAACCAGAAATACCATTTGATCCAGCAATCCTATTACTGGGTATATATCCAGAGGATTATAAATCATTCTACTATAAACATACATGCACACATATGTTTATTGTGGCACTGTTCACAATAACAAAGACTTGGAACCAACCCAAATGCCCATCAGTGATAGACTGGATAAAGAAAATGTGGCACATGTGCACCATGGAATAGTATGCAGCCATAAAAAAGGATGAGTTCACGTGTTTTGCAGGGACAGGGATGAAGCTGGAAACCATCATTCTCAGCAAACTAACACAAGAACAGAAAAACAAATACCACACATTCTCATTCATAAGTGGGAGTTGAACAGTGAGAACACATGGATGCAGGAAGGGGAACATCACACACCAGGGCCTGTTGGAAGGTGAAGGCCTAGGGGATAGAAAGCATTAGGAAAAATACCTAATGTAGATGACGGGTTGATGGGTGCCGGAAACCACCATGGCACATGTATACCTATGTAACAAACCTGCATGTACTGCACATGTGCCCCAGAACTTAGAGTATAATAAAATATAAAAATAAAAAACCACAAAGTTCAACAATAATTAAAAAAGGAGGGAGCGAGTTTCATATTTGAAGAGATGCTTTTTTGGAGGTGCTTTGAGGGACCTGATGACAGAGGAAACTTTCAATAATAAGTCTGTAAAATATGCAAGGTAATTAAAACAATTATCCATTAAAATACTATTCTGCCTTTAAAAAGAATAAAATTTTGTAATTTTGAACAATATGAATTAGCTTGAAGGAAGTTGTGTTAAGTGAAATAAGCCAGGTACAGAAAGAAAAATATTGCACGATCTCACTTATTTGTAGAATTGAAAAAAGTTGAACTCACAGATGCAGAAAGTAGAATGGTGGTTGCCAGAGGCTAAAATTAAAAGTGAGTGAAGAGTTGTTGGTCACAGCATCCAAATTTCATTAGACAGAAAGAATATATTTTTGAGATCTATTGCACAGCATGGTGACTACAGTGAGTAATAACGTATATTTCAGAATTGCTAAAGTTCAAATGTCCTCCCCATAAAAAATAAGTATGTGAGGGGATGCATATGTTAATTAGTTTGATTTAATTATCCACAATAGATGCATGTATCAAAACATCACACTGTATACTATAAATACATAAAATTATTTGCCAATTAAAATGTAGAAGATTAGAATTTTTAAAAATCAGAAAACCAAAACAATACAAAAATAAAATATTCACAAAGTTTTGTTTTCCCATCAATAACACTTTGGAGGAGGATGGGTAAAAAAACAAGAAATGGGCCGGGTACAGTGGCTCATGCCTGTAATCCCAGTACTCTGGGAGGCCGAAGTGAATGGATCACCTGAGGTCAGGAGTTCAAGACTAGCCTGACCAACATGGCGAAACCCTGACCCTACTAAAAATACAAAAAATTAGCCAAGAGTGGTGGCACATGCCTGTAATCCCAGCTACTCAGGAGGCTGAGGCAGGAGAATTGCTTGAACCCAGGAGGCGGAGTTTGCAGTGAGCTGAGATCACACCATTGAATTCCAGCCTGGGCGATAAGAACAAAACTCCATCTCAAAAAAAAAAGAGAGAGAGAGAAGAAAGAATTGATGAGGAGTGGTCCAGAATTTTCAGCCCCAACATTATAGTCTTAGAATGTTCAGCAGTGATAGCAAACAGGCCTTTTGTACTTTCAGTAGAATACCAGCAAGCACCATTATCGTTTGTACCATCTGCTCTATCTAGATGATGTTTTTTGATCACTCATCTCCATACTTTATATCATGAAGATATTGCTGTTTCTACTGTTCCCTCCAGCTCTGCCCCCACATCCAATATCAACTTCTATTATCTGTATTTTTTTGGTCGTTTACTAAAGAGTTAGATCACACCATAAAAACTAGTTCAAGTTAGATTAGCAAGAATGACCACCTTAGCTGGTTTAAGTTGCTTTCATGTCTGTTTACAAGTGAGCCAGCAAACAATGAATTTGCCTGTGTCCAGATTCCAGCCTGCCTACCCCAGACCCTCACACCCAGCCACTTGCTCCCACAGGGACCTTGGGGTGGCTCAGGTAATCCTGGCAGCCAGAGCTTCAACAGTTGCCCCTTTCTGCCTTTGTTTAATGGGGGCTTCTCTGTGGCCCTGAAACCTGCCAGGTACCAATGAGCACCCCACCACTTCCCATTCCTTTAAGGGGCTTTAGAGTCAGGCAGTGGAAGTGACTGGCAAGTCACTCAACTTTCTGAACCTTATTTCCTTATTTATAAAATTATTATAGGATGATAATAACACCTACCTCATAGGTAAGAATTGAAAGAATGCAAATGTTTCCGAAAGTTTCTGGAAGCATTCCGTAAGTATGGGCTATTGGGGTGTGTGTGTGCATGTTCTCCCAAGGTTCAGCTGAGATTTATACAATCACAGGGTACTTTACAGGCTATTGTTCGTGTAAACCACACTGACTGAAACAGAAATAAGCCCAATCTCTGCTAAAATCTGGGGAAACACTCCTAAACATTTTAGACATAGATTTTTTTCAAAATTTAATGTTGTGAGTCTCACAATACTTATAAGTAAATCTCCAAAGTTTACCCCAAGGTTTTTATTCTTTGAGGAAAACGAACCTAAAGGCAAAGGCAATAATCTCTTTTAAGTAAAGTGTGACAAAATGACATTCTGTCAGGTATTAAAGCAGCTCTTAATTGCTAGACAATTCCCGATGTTTGAAGAGAGTTCTCAGCAAAGACATTAAATTGCGCCAAGGGTTTAGACATTTAACTTTCAAGAATTCAGATTGATGATGATGATTATTTCAGTAGTGTTGCTTATCTACCCAGCAGATTTCCCCCTGAAAGCCAAAGGGCTTAACAAAACCAGAAAGCTGGCCACAAATTGCCACAGTGAGGCAGCCCTGAGGCCTTGGATGAGATGCTTCCCTCTGGAGCGGCAGGAACCCCTGCAGGGAAGTGGACAGCAGCTTCCTTCACCTGGTAAGGCTACTCTGTGCCAAAATTCACAAGTCCACAGCAGCTGTGAAAGATCTTGGAAGCTTCTGCAGGACAAACCTGCTGCAGGGAACAGCCCAGCTACAGCTGGCCACTCCATTTGGCTTGATTCCAGTTTGTCTGGGCTCCAAGAGCTAAGCGCACTGAATCTCCACTCATTTGCTTGCTTTCTTCTCACCTTAAGAAGGCCATGGATCATTGTCTGGACTGAAATCCACCCGATGAAATGCTGAGGGCTTTCCCCCTCACAGGTAAATAAAATGTGAGACAGACACTTGAGTTTATCTTCTAACGGAGCTGTGTGAGGTTGGGCAAACCACTAAACCCCTTGGTTCCTTCATCTGTAATTACAAAGGGCTGGGATACATCTCTAAAGTCCCTGTTAGCTTAAAAGTCTATGTTTCTAAGTTGACTGCAAAATAAGAATGAAATACACATAAAAGAAATTTTTAAAAACTCTTGTTTTATGAAAAGTTGCCTCATGGTTAGAAGAGTCATGGAGTGATTCAAGTCCCGATTTCACAAGCTTAATTATAAATAAACTCAACTTTATTCCACTCACATAGTCTTCAACTTAAAAAGATAAAAAATAACTTACTGGTGATTCGATGTCCTCTAGGAGCAAAACAGAACAGTGTTCACATTTCAGCAGAGTTTGGGCCCGATGCATTATTTTCTTGACAATTTTCTCCAGGTCAGTCTGTTCTTCAAAGAGGTCATTAACCACCTCTAGCAAAGCCTAGAAAAGAAGAAACAGATGTATTTAGGTGGGTGTAAAACTGAAAAACATGTTGTTTTTATTCTTAAAATTTAATTTAGTGTTTGCTTTAATAAAATAAATCTTTTTGTGTAGCTAATTTTAAAAGCTATTATGATTGTTTTGATATATTTCCATCACTCAATTTTATAACACGTACTTAAACTGCAAAATACAACTTGAGAATACAGCTAGTTCTTGTAACAGGTGTGAAAATAAGTAATTCAAAACCTAAGCTACTGGAACTCTAGATTATTTTGAGTCTTAAAGGACAATGATTATTGGAGGGGGGAGGTCACTTGAGAGGCAGCAGTAAGCAAGGCAGCTATAACTCTTGTTTCTCTGACTACAGATTAGCCTTCTTCCTTACCAACATTGTTTTGTAAAATGTTGTAAAATGTTGTAAAACTAAAGAGCACCAGAGAAGACTCCTTCCCTCTTCACTGCTGATCTTCATTATAGACTAACTTCCTTCTTACTCTTCGCACACAAGGACCCCATGGCCATCACATTGCCTTAAGATGGAATGTTAAATATACTCTTTTAAATTGGAAAGAAAATGAAAACCAGCTATAAAGAAAAGAAAACAAGCTACATAGAAAAAAAACAAACTGTAACTAATTATGTTGTTATAACTCATAAACCAGCCTTGTATAGCAAATGCTGAAATCCTGTCAAATTTCTTTACTTTGTGCCTATAGAAGCAAGAGCTTAACTTTTAACTTTGGAATGCTTACCCCATTTTTCCGGAGTCTGCATCTCCCGGATTGGCCATTCCCAGGTTTTCACTTGAATAAACTCTTCAAAACTAGATTCTGATCCTTTTTATTTATCTATTTATTTATTTATTTATTTGAGATGGTGTCTTGCTCTGTCCCCAGGCTGGAGTGCAGTGGCGAGATCTTCGCTAACTGCAACCTCCAACTCCCTGATTCAAGCTATTCTCCTGACTCTCCCTAAACTGCTACTAAGATCAGTGCTTGAGATATTTTGCAGACCCTGCACTTGATGGATCATCTGGCACCACCCAGATCAATAAACTGGCTCATCTGATCTTGTGACCCCCACCCAGGAACTAACTCAGCGCAAGAGGACAGTTTCAATTCCCTATGATTTCATCTCTGACCCAACCAGTCAGGATTCCTACACATTGGCCTTCCCCCACTCACCAAATTATCCTTAAAAACTCTGATCTGGGGAGACTGATTTGAGTAACAATAAAACTCTGGTCTGCAGCACAGCTGACTCTGTGAATTACTCTTTATCTATTGCAAGGTGAACCCATTGGGTGCTTACATTATCTCTAAAGAAAGATGGAACAGAGTAAGGACCCTATTGCTCCATGATCCCAAAGCAAAGAGGAACATCGAAAGGTGGAAAAACTCCTAAGCGAATCTTGATATTTGGCATTTGGACAGCAAATCTCTGTTAGGGGTCAATGCATAATAATTTCATGTTCAAACATTAAAAATGAGACAACTGTCTGAGTAATTACAAGCAAAATGCCCTGTTATTTTGCCTTGCTATCAAGCCTTCTGAGTAGCTGGGATTACAGGTGCCTGCCACTGCGCCCAGCTAATTTTTGTATTTTTGTTTTAGTAGAGATGGGATTTCACCTTGTTGGCCAGGATGGTCTCAATCTCCTCATCTCATGATCTGCCCACCTCGGCCTCCCAAAGTGCTGGGATTATAGGCGTGAGCCACCTCGCCCAGCCTGATCCTTTTGATTATTAATATTTCAGTTTGACACAGGGATCATGTAATCATTAGCTATAGGTATTTCCCCTCTCCTACAGTAGTTTTTCTGCAATGCAACCAGGTAAAAACCCAATATTTTTTAAGTAGTGAATACCACCAAAGCACATTGATTCAGAAAATTACAAAGCAGCTCTTCCTCACTATCAGGAAGAAATAGATTCTTGGTCAAACTTTCAACATCTTCACAAATACACATCCCTTACATAACTCTGAAAGAATTAGAGAGGTGAATGCTAATTAAGGTTCAGATTTTTAGGCCAGGTGCGGTGGCTCCCATCTGTAATCCTAGCACTTCGGGAGGTCGAGGAGGGCAAATCACCTGAGGTCAGGAGTTTGAGACCAGCCTGCCCAACATGGCGAAACCCCATCACTACTGAAAATACAAAAATTAGCCAGGTGTGGTGGTGGGTGCCTGTAATCCCAGCTACTGGGGAGGCTGAGGCAGGAGCATCACCTGAACCTGGGAGGCAGAGGTTGCAGTGAGCCGAGATTGCACCACTCCAGCCAGGGTGACAGAGCTAGAATCATTCTCAAAAAAAAAAAAAGTTCAGATTCTTAAATAAATATATAAAATACAATTTACATTTAGTCTTTGCTAAATATAATATGTAAATTACATATATTATATAAATAGACAATAAATACCTCCATATATATAAAATATATATAAATAAATATATATGTACATACATACATATATAGCTTCCTTAATTCCTCTATACAAGAGGAAATACTGCTTTATCCCAAACTGTCCAGGAGAACATATAGATACTTACATATCAGGGAAGAAAACACATTAAATTTTTTTTAAAAAAGCAGAATGAAAAGCACATAACTTAGAAAAAAAAATGTTAAGTTCTAACTTGAAAACTGTGTAACCATTTAAAAACTAAATGGTAATAACCCGTGATTTTCTCCAGCTAAAAAATTAGCTGTAATTTTTGCATTGAAATAATATTTGTTTGCTCAGGTCAGGTATGAATTTGTGAAAAATAAAGAAGACATAATATTTGTTTGGAATTTTTAATGGCATGGATGTTTCCAGAGATTTAAGAATAGTAGATTACGTGCAGGTGGTAGATATTATGCTTCTCTCAGGGAGCAATTGGAAAATTACATTTTTAGCGAACTGGCCAGTGGGCACTTGCTTCAATAGAATGTAGAAAGAGATGCAATCTCAAGTCTGACCTCTCACAAAAGGATTTCATGAATTGTCAAATTCACATCTATTCATCATGGTGCTGATCATCATCTCAGGGACATGACTAATTTTCAACTTCAATAATGAATTTAATTTGTCCTGAAACCATTTGAAATGTGAAAATTTCTTCTCTGAATCTATTCAGGTAGAAAAGCATTTGAATAGCCGGGCGTGGTGGCTCACATCTATAATCCCATCACTTTGGGAGGCTAAGGCAGGCAGATCACACAAGGCCAGGAGTTCAAGAGCAGCCTGGGCAACATGGCAAAACCCCATCTCTACTAAAAATACAAAAAAATCAGCTGGGCATGGTAGAGCACGCCTGTACTCCCAGCTACTAAGGACGCTGAGGCAGGAGAATTGCTTGAACCTGGGAGATGGAAGTTTCAGTGAGTTGAGATCATGTCACTGCACTCTACCCTGGGTGACAGAGTGAGACTCCATCTCAAAAAAAAAAAAAAAAGAAAGGTAAAGAAAAGGAAAAAAAAACCATTTGAATGAGTTAAGAGATTCATGAAATGAGTCCAGTTCACTGAGCAATTGAAAGAGGACCAAATATCCTGGGTAGGGTTATTGAAACCGCCATTGCAAAAGTATAACTGGGGAGACCTAACCAACTCCATCTTGCTTCTAACCTCCAAACTGTCCTTGTTCATTCCTGGGCATAGGCTGAACTAACTTTGGGAGGAACATAGTTTATAGTATATTGTTTAAAACAAAGATGACAATAGCCCTTTCCCAAAACAAATCTTTTTTTTTTTGAGGTGGGGTCAGTCTTACTCTGTCACCAGGCTGAGTGCAGTGGCGCTATCTTAGCTCACTGCAACTTCAGCCTCCTGGTTTCCAGAGATTCCCCTGCCTCAGCCTCCCGAGTAGCTGGGAATACAGGCATGCGCCACCACACTTCACTCATTTTTTGTATTTTAGCAGAGACAGGGTTTCACCGTGTTAGCCAGGATGGTCTCAATCTCCTGATCTTGTGATTGTGATCCACCCGCCATGGCCTCCCAAAGTGCTGGGATTACAGGTGTGAGCCACAGTACCCGTCCACAAACCTCCTTCTTGCCTGGGGACTAGAATGCCTTTGCAGAAATAACAAATTAGCCACAAGATTAGAAATTATGGTTTAGGAGTTATACAGCTGCAAGCTACAAGTCATGTAGCTGACTCTCCCTAAACTGCTAAGATCAGTGCTTGAGATATTTTGCAGACCCTGCACTTGATGGATCATCTGGCACCACCCAGATCAATAAACTGGCTCATCTGATCTTGTGACCCCCCCCCCCACCCAGGAACTAACTCAGCACAAGAGGACAGTTTCAATTCCCTATGATTTCATCTCTGACCCAACCAATCAGGATTCCTACACACTGGCCTTCCCCCACTCACCAAATTATCCTTAAAACTCTGATCTGGGGAGACTGATTTGAGTAACAATAAAACTCTGGTCTTCAGCACAGCTGACTCTGTGTGAATTACTCTTCCTCTACTGCAAGGTGAACCCATTGGGTGCTTACATTATCTCTAAAGAAAGATGGAACAGAGTAAGGACCCTATTGCTCCATGATCCCAAAGCAAAGAGGAACATCGAAAGGTGGAAAAACTCCTAAGCGAATCTTGATATTTGGCATTTGGACAGCAAATCTCTGTTAGGGGTCAATGCATAATAAAAAATAATAATAATTTCATGTTCAAACATTAAAAATGAGGCAACTGTTTGAGTAATTACAAGCAAAATGCCCTGTTATTAATGGGGAACACATTATTTCCTTAATCATCTAGACTATTTCTTCAGATGCATCAAATTAACTGAACAATTTTAACTTTTCAATTCGTTGTAATTGCATGGAGAGAGCCTCTGTGGCCCATATACAAGAACATTTATCTCAGAGGAAAAACTAGTTGTGCCTTGAGTCTTGCACTGACAAATCGCATTATAGTAATCTTACTGGTTCTAATTTAAAATTGCTGCTTTATTAACGAGTGATCGGAGTTTTACAAATAACAATGTGGACTAGCTCCAGAATGGGAGAAAAAGAGAAGAAAATCTAGAGTAATATCCAGCTCACAGATAATGGAAGCATTTCACACAGTTGAATAGGCCCTGCTTCTTGATGTCACTTGCCTTCCAGGAAACGAGTATCTGCATTTTGTTTCTCTTTCTTCTACTGGCCTTTTTAAATGATCGTCTCTTTTATTTTATTTATTATTATTGTTATACTTTAAGTTCTAGGGTACATATGCAGAACGTGCAGGTTTGTTACATAGGTATACATGTGTCATGGTGGTTTGCTGCATCCATCACCCCGACATCTACACTAGTGACCTTCTTTTGTTCTTGGGCGTGTCCTTGGACCTTTCCCTTCTCTTATTTGCATATTCTTCCTTAAATTAACCAGCTAGATCCCTGGCTTTAAATACCCTCTATATGCTGCTGGTTCCCAAATCTCCAGCCCTGATATCTCCCCAAAACTTTAGAATCCTGTATCCAAGTGTTTACTTGCCAGCTGTTCAAGCCAAAATTCTCTTTCACTCATTTCCCATATCAGCGAACCCCATAGATTTCAACACTGATTTTGGAGGAAATCTGTCACTTCTCACTGCCCTAGTCCTATTTTCTCGCTTCAATACAGTTCTTTTCTAAGTCCTCTTACTGCTTCAGCCTTCTCCCTCCCTTCCCAGCCAGTTTATTGCCTCCAGAGAGGCCAGAGTGAACTGTATTAAAAGTCAGACACACCTCAAAATCTCCTAATGGCTTTCCACTGCACTCAGGATGAAAGCCACAGCCCTTGCCATGCCCACAGGCTTTTCTACCATCTGGCCTGCCTCCATACCCTCATTTTATTTTATTTTCCTTTCTCTATCCCCCTTTCTCTCTGCTCTCGAAACACACTGACCAAGTTTTCTCCTGTCTCAAGTCCTTTGTACTTGGTATTTCCCCTGCCAGAAATGCTCTCCCCAGATCTTTGTGTGGCTTTTCTCCTTTCCATTCAAGTCTCTGCTCATAGATCAACTCCTTATAGAGACCTTTTTGATCACCCTCTAAAATAAACATCCTCCCAACCTACCCTTCCTCAACCCTTCATTCCTTTATCTCACTTTATTTTCCTTGCAGTACTTAATCGCTACCCATACTATGCAATTTAAAAAATTTGTTTTCTTATCTATTATCTATTGTTCTCATGGAATAGTAAGTTCCATAAGGATAGGGATTTGGATAGACAGCATGTGAAGGGAACCACACAATCAATACTTGTTGAATGAATAAATTAATTGTGCCATACACAAGGATACAAAGATTAATCATACATGAAGCTTCCCTTAAGGAGTTCATAATGTAGTGGGAGAGGAGGGCCCTCCTTAAATATCATAATACAGTGTGATAAGTATTCACAATAGAATAATGGCAGTAGATACAAGCCAAAACCACAAGTGAAGAAGGGAAGATTAATCAGAAGGCTGAGCGGGGTCCTGAAGAATGTGGAAGGCAGATGGTGGAATTGACTTGAGGCATTGAAGGCAGAGGGAGGAATATGGATAAAGTTATGATCAAATGAAACAGATTGTTTGCCGGAAATTGGGGACCATATTGCTGGAGTGCCAGATGAAAGAAGGAGCATGGTAAGACATGGGGCAAAGGATGAAAAGAGGATTCAAAGCAGAGAAAAGATGTGTATGCCATGCTAAGAACCATGGCTGTAGTAGTCAACTGTGTTCATCTGTTTACTGATAAAAAATCCATAAATCATAATTAGCAAATGAAATTTTAATCGACTTGATGCCCAGATTAACTGAGGGTTTCAAACCTTTTTGAAAATCTTTTTGTTAAATATATTTCTAAGTTGTTACAGTAATCTTTCTATATTTAAAAGTGGAATGAGCCTAATATAATTTAATCTCTATTTGATAATTTAGCATTTTTTGATTACTAGACTTTGCCTTTTTCACAACTTAGTTCTATAGTTCACGAAGGTATAAAAGATCTATGTGTTTCTTTATAATACTATAAAGTAGTGTTTGCATTATTGTTCCAAGTATCTAGTGACAGGTACTTTCAGAAATCCTTTCAATTCAAAAATTGTTTCAATTCAAAAATAAAATCTGGGAAGTGGGGCTAAGATCTTGCTTCTTAAAGGAATTTAGTTGTAAAAGCATCACCAAATTGTGTTATTGTTTCGAAGCCACAAATTAGCAAGGATATATCTGCTGCCTTACAGTATAGATGTGATATTAATTTCCTTTTTGAAAGAAGTTTGTACCCCTGCCCCCAAATAACAACAGATAATTTGCGTCCACTTCCATTTGGGCTTATTGCTTAAACTGTATCTTCAACCATAGCCTTGCAGAATTATACAAATAAAAAAGATTCTCGGACTATTCAAAGATCATTCATTGACTGTTTTCAAAAGACATAATGACTTACAGAAACCAGAGAGAGAGTGTTGAGGAGTGTCAACAATGTTTTTTTTCTACTCACTCTGCTTCTTTCATATTCTTTCCTTGAGGCAGCAAAGAGCTGAGCGTTAGATATGGCGATTCCACAAAATGGAAGATACATCTGCATAACCTGAGACAAAGACAGCAGTAAGAACATTAAAACCTAAGAACATTGATACATCCCTTGCTAGACTAAATTCCACACTTCCTGTATATGCCTGATTGGAATACTTTATGTGCATCTATAGAGATTGAGTACAGAGAGTTGTTGATACTAATATTTTAACTTCAGAATGAATATTTTTCAAAGTTACCTAAAAGATGTTGTAAATCAAGCTTTAACTAGAGAATTCACATCTACGAAGACATAAAGTGAAGCAACAGATTATGAGGCCTGCGACATAGGAACTGTGCCTAAAGCAGCTTGTATTACTTTGATTATAACAAAAAAAGGATAAATAAATAAATGAACCGTGATATACCTGGAATTTAAAGCATGTGCCCATACTCACATTTGGAGGTAGGCAGGATATAAGTCAATTCTTTTGTTGGCATATGACATATACCATATGTATATGGCATACAATTCACATCTGTAGCAGGGATTTCAGCTTCATTCTAGACCTATCGGCTATCAGATTTAAGCATGCCCCGCTGGATGAGCCCAGTGGAAACTCAGGGGTCAGCAGGCCTGGAAGCCTTCTACAAAACAGCTCTAATTGTATCCGCCGCTGTGTAGACATAACTGGACACAAGTCAGACTGGTGGGATGGTTCTGCAGAAGATGGAGAGGTCCTCCCATGTGCAGAAACACACAGCTGTGATGGGCCCGACCCTGACAAAGACATTCTCATCATGGGGGTTTAGGTACAGGGATTTTCACTACCGCCTGGCACTCTTAGAACAATTCATCTCCAGAATCTCTGATTCCAGAGAGATAGAACGCTCCAAGTGAAAACTGAAAGAACTATTTCCCTCAATTCTTCACAATGTAGATGAAACAAGTGACATACTTGGGACTTCTCTAAAGCAAGAGGGAAAAAAGCATGTGTATATTATAATGTTCTATGTCTCCCCCCCCCCCCCCCCCACACACACACACACACGAGTTCATGCACACACAATGGTACCTAGGAAGAGGTACAAAGCCCTGGCAAAATAGAGCAACTCCTGCTGTCTCCAGCAGAGGGCAGTGCAGTGCCCACCATGGGTAAGGGATGACTGCAGCCTCCACCAACTCAGGAAGCACTTGTGAGGCACCCAGAACACCCAGAACAGAATCACCTGGAATGCAAGGTAATTATGAAGAGGATTTGAGGTAGACAAAAGATGAAGCGCAATGCACATTCCCTATCATTGAATTTCCTATTAAAATCTTTCTTTGCTTACCTGGGCATGATAAACTCTGACCTAGGATCCTGAAAAGAATTTCAGAGCCATATAGAAACTAAAGCTATGACCTCATTTTTAAAGAACATAGAAACACAATGGATCAGAATTAAGAAGAGGTACAAAAATCAATGATTTTTGCCGATCTTTTTGGGATAAATTCCTTCCCTGGATTTTCACATGTTGCCTTCTGGAACTAGATATTATTTCTCTTACTCCCTACTCTCCCTTTTCTTTCTACTGCCCCTCATGATGTAGAAAGCTTGTCCATAAGTCAGCATAAAGATGTTGGCATAAAGCTGCCAGATATTTCACTAGAATTTCCCTGCCTTTAGGCAGAATGGGACCACTTTCAATATCACCTACACATACAGCAAGCACTTTCCTTGGAGTTGTCTGGAGGTTTTGTTTCTGGCTCTTTGTTTTTTCTGCCATGGAGACAGTGACTATAATGGGGATAAAAGTGAGGAGGAGATATGGGTTACTTATTTTAACTTTTCACTATTTATTTATTTATTTATTTATGCCTTCAGGGGACAAATTTAAGGCGGTTGGTAAGTCAAGCAAGTAAGAAGAAGAGAATGTCCAAATGCACATGTGAAATGTTTTCTAATATATCATAGGCTTGCTTCACTTCATTTGTAATTCCAATATTTATTGAGTTCCAGGTATTATGTTTAATTAAAAAGAATCTTAATTTTAAATCAAATGATCATTGTTGTTTTTACAGTTTTTCTATGTGAAATGCAACAAATCACATAACCTCTTGCACGTATTTTCTTAACTGTAAATGCCAGGTTTATGGTCTTTTTTAGTTCTAATCTTTGGGGTGATTCAAACAATATGAAACATCGCTGAGCTGTAATATTCTATTTACTAGAGAAAGCAAAGAATTCAGTAAACATACTTGCATCTTATTCATGAAACAATAATTTATAATTGCAATTGACATTTGCAAAGCCCTTCTGTCAATGTGTCAGGCATGACGCTATGTGTAGGGGTGATGTTAAGTGTTGTATATGCATTATATCTATTTTATATTCGTTTATGTTTTACCATTAATCCAGGTTTGCAGATGAGAAAACTGAGGCTTTAAGAACTTACCCAAAGTTCTTGAGAAATAATTCTCTAGGGATATTTTATGTTTCCACACAGTTAGCAAACAGAGGCACTGGCTGTATCTTTTGGGAATGCTTATATAATGTACATCCTTGAAAGACAGAGATACTGTCTCCTTCCAGAGCAAAGAGCAGAAGTGTTTACTCTCCAGTACAATAAAGACAATATCTCCCTCTAGACAGAGGTCAGGCAGGCTCACTCTTCATTATGAAAGATTTGGGTTGCTTACATTTGAGTTTCCTCTTCTATCATGCAATCTAATATATATGCTGTTATCAGGGTCAGGGAACCAGCAGATACTGATGCTCAAATTATTGCTAGTGTCATACGAACTATTTTTTGTCACTGATCCAGGAGTCTCATGTCTTCTGTCAGCATCCGTGAGACTGTGGCAGACTAACCTGCTAGCCTGCATGTACAGTATAGTAAAGTCAGACCCTTTATGAATTTTAACAACGTCACCTAGATAGTTAATGGTGAAGCTGAATTTAGAATCCAAGTGGCCTAACCCTAGGATCTACCTTCTTAGCTTCTACACTCTCCTGCTTCCCAAGGTCATACATATCTTTTATACCATTAATATGATAGTCTGGTTAACTGCAACACAAGATAGATTACTAAGACTAGCAGTCCATTATTCCAGTGTATGTGCAGTCACAGGAGACTGCAGGAGCAGAAAGCAGTTCTGGTAGAAGAGACAAAACTCGGTTTCAAGAGATAAGGCAACCGTGCTCAGGAGGCAATTTGTCTAGCAGTTGGTGTAAGGGAAATCCTAGGTAGAGAGCGGACCACACTGACAGGCATCAGAGTGTGGTTATGAAGGCCAGAGTGGAAAGTTCCAGCAGAAAAGAGGCTGGCTTTAGGAGAGCCTGTTAGCAGGTAGCAGGGCCCTCGTCTCCAGGTAGGGCTTTAAGGATCAGTTTATACTCTTGGTAGTGAAAGGGAGGGAAATGGCAGAAGAAAAGAAGGGGCCCATCGGTATGAAATGTGGGACACAATGTTTTAAAGAGGCACAGAACTGCTCACAGGGAGGGGCTGTGGCAAAGCTGGGCCCACAGGTGTGGGTCCTGTGGTGCGGCTCCAGCCACAGAGTGGAGAATGAATCAGGGTCTGGGAACGAGGCTGTGTTCCACACACGGCCAGAGAGGTTCCAGTCTTAGCTCCGTGGGAATGCCGCAGTGTCCCTGGGAGCCTAGGAACAGCCTGACATCAAACTGTCAGTCAATCGCAAATCTCTTCATCCTCATCCAGTCTTGTTTCCATCAAACCTAGTTTTTAAGTCTAAAAATTTAGAATTTGCAAATACTTTCTCCAAATAATATAAACTATTCTTCATGAATAGTATAGTGTACTATCCAGAAAGCATGCAAATCAGATTGCTGTTGGTTCTTTTCATCTACCCACTGTGTCTGACAAAGCACCCCTCAATTTAGTCCTGACAGATGAATGGTATTTACTTGTCACAACCTCAGGAAAAGCAGCTCCACAATCTTCCTCCATTTTACATGTCTAGCAAATGTCACTTTCATGAATTGTTTTCATACGAATGTAACAAACCCCTCATATCACAATATACCTCCAATTCTTACCCTTTAGTGGAGATGAAAACCAACAAAAGCTCTGCTATTTTAAACCAATTACAAGGCATTTAACGTGGCATTTTGAATGGCAAAAGAGACTCCTGCTGTCTTGTTTTGTGTACTCCAATTTGTCAAGTTAATGCTTCTAGAACAGCTTCCAAACAAAAGCAAATGGCAAAATGAGCACCTTACTCACTGTAGTGGGAATGCACAGATCAGCTCAATTTAACAAGAGCCGCCTGACTGCCTTCTCCCGTCAGGCCCTGGGTTAATACGCAGCACCGCTAAATTACATGACACCATCACTATTTCAAGTTTACCACTAGCTTCAATTATATCCCTGAGATGATTACTATCCAGCTCAAACTCCTTCAATATTTTCACAAAAAAATACAGGCTAAAGTTCAAATTTCAACTCTCTGTTAAATCCTCCCAAATGTTGGCCCTATTGAACACTGTTATTATTGTTATTATTATTATTGCTTGTTGAGATTTACCCGCATGTGTACCAGTTCTTCCTCCTCATTCCTTCCAACATCTCCTTCCTTCTTTCTGTGATATAGTTTTATTTTTTTCCAGACAATCCTTTAATAGTATCTTTTAGTGTTAGTGGTAAATGCTTTTAGTTTTGTATGAAAATATGTTTATTTTATAATCAATCTTAAAAGATAATATAGTTGGGTATGCAATCCTAGGTTAACAGTTATTTTCTCTCAGTACTTACAAGATATTATTCCCCTAAAAAGCCAGCTGCCAATCAAATTCTTGGTAGATTATCTGCCTTTGTCTCCGGTTTCTTTTAGGTTTTCTTTATGTCGTTGGTAGCCAATTTGTATTTTTTCAGCCTCAATCAAAGGCTTAATTGAATCATAGTAACCTCAGCGTATATATTGGCCAAACATTACTATGGACAGAGACAATATTATACCTTCGTGGCTCACTGCACACTGAGAGAGAATCTTTGTTAATATAGGAAATGTTCTACCCTGTGTTATTCTTTGGCATTACAATTCAGCCCTCTGGGGTCAGACTCAATTGCACA